TTAAACTATAGTGATTTAATAAGTGAAAATGGATGTCATTATTTATTTACCTGCTGAATATATTTTTATATTAATACATAGGCAAAACTGAAATGTATTCACAATATTTAACTTCATGTCCTACAAAATTTAGCTTTTATTCTTGTTTTGTGCAACAATACGTATCTTCCCCTTTATATGAAATATCCACTGCTTTCTGATTTTCACCCCAACTTTTGGTTATGTTACTGGGATGGTTTGGGGTTCACCTTGTTCTTTGTCTATTTCATTCTCCAAGAATGGGAGAACTAAAAGTTTTACGCAGGTCCCTATACAGAAATGTCAAATTATTTCATTTTTTCTTCTTGCCCGTTAAAATGACAAGATACAAGGCAAAAAGAAAGAAAGAAAGAAGAAAAAGGCACAAAGACAAAAAAAAAAAAAAAATGCTAGTTACTCTCAAACCAGACTGCCAGCAACTCAGAATTTCTTCTTTCCATAACACTCTGACCTGAGTGTAAGGGCTTAAGCATTACTGTCATCCTCATAGTAAATGTTACATTCCGGTCAGGGTCTAATGTTGTGATAATTGACATATATCAAATGAGATTACTCATGTGAGGTTAAATGTAGCTGTATTGGAAGTGCGTATGGATGGCAACCAGCATGATTTGATGTGCTGGAGACTCCACTGGGTATTTTTCTTGTAACCTCCCGTTTTAATCCTCACTGTACCTTTGCAAGTCATGGGGATCTTCATTGTTATTACAAACATTATTATATCTTAGAAGTTAAACATCACACAACTAATTAATGGGAGGGACAGATTCCAAACTCAGGTTAGTTGGGCTCCAGTTCTTCTCAGGGATGACATAGATCAAATGATTGGTTCTAATACTGCTACCACCCTTGTCCATCCCCTCCAACCTTGCTTATTCTCAAACCATTGATGATAATAGAACAATACCATGGATCTTTCAGAGTGGCTTGTGGAACCACTTTCATTACTCTATAGTGGAAATTCACAGATGAAATATTTAAATAAACGGGAACAAAGAAATTGCCTGAAAGCCTGATGGGTAAATCCAACTTCCTAGAAACAGAAATTCTAAGGATGATGGCTTATAAATTTCGTTTCATCTAATAAAAGTTGCTAATTTTGTGCCGTATTTGAGGTTTGAAAGTTTTGCAACTTTTTGTAAATTTTTGTAACTTACTGTTTCATTTTGCTTTTTCTCTTTAAAGCTACACCATTTCCAAATAGCTTCAAGTGTTTTACCTGTGAAAATGCAGGGGATAATTACAATTGCAATCGATGGGCAGAAGACAAATGGTGTCCACAAAGTAAGTTTGCTGTGTTTGGAACACTCTTCTGTGATCTCACTTCGTTTAGGTCTCTCCCTACTTGCCTAGAGCAGAGATGTCTTACCTAATGGATTAGTATACTAACAGGCTGACGACATTCTTTAGGAATCAGAGGGTTTTTTTTTTTTTCTGAGAGACTATCCAGACATCAGACTATTCTGAGAGGACTTGGAAACTGGTGCGGAAGCCTCAATTTGTAGCTGAATGCCTTGAGGAAGTATTTCTTAAATGGTATCTACCAGGGAGAACAGATAGACCACAATGTGGGTTAAGGCATTTTCAGAATTTCAGAAATGCTTAATGATGCCTCCAGAACAGTCATACTTACTGAGGTTTAAAGCAAAGGAAGGTTTCTGTACTCTTGAGATATATTGATCCTTGGGAAACTCATTCATTCATTTAAGAAAAATCACAAGCAAGCTAAATGTTAGATAATGTTAAATAACATCTGAGTACCTTTTTAGTTTGTTTAGTTCCCTGATATATGAGGGCTGTTTGGAAAGTATCCAGCCATTGTTAATATAATAATAAAATATAACATGGCTGGATACTTTCTGGACAGCCCTTGTATCTTTAGTGCCTAATCTGGTACCTGGCTCATATGAGGCACTCAGTAAATATTTGTTGACTGGATGAATCAGTGCCTTTGATGAGGTAGTCAAGGAAGTCTCTGAGGAGGATACATTAAAACTAAGACCTGAATACCCAAAACAAGCCAGCCATGTGGAGATCTGTAGGAAGAGCAAGCCAGGAGGAAGGAACAGCAAATGCAAAGGTTTCAAGGGGCAAGAGTAGGCTTGGCCTTGTCATGGTCAGGAAGGAGCCTGGCCACTGAGACTTAGTGGGAGATAAAAAATCCAAGAGGGAGACAAGGACCAGGACATGCAGGGTCTTCTTTTTTCAATAAGGAGTTTGGATTTCATTGTGAATGTGATGGGAAGGCAGTAGGGAGTTTTAAGCTAGGGATTATGTGATATTGGTCATGTTCCAGAACATTGCCCTGGCTACTGTGTGGAGAATGGATGGTTGGGACAAGAGTAGAAGGGAACACCAAGTAGAAACAGACAGGGACAGAATGTGCTGATGGATGATGTGGAATTTAAAAACTCTACTTATAAGGAGATCAGACTGTTCAGATTTTTGATTGTACTGTTTTTTAGGTTTCTCAGATATAAAAGACCAGAATAAACAAATAGACTCTTACAGAATTAGAGATTAGTAGTTTTGGTCTCTATTACCTTGACTCTTTTGGAAATTTCTAGAACAGTCTTTATGACAGTGGCATAGCCTTACCTTTTCCAGATAAAGCCACTGGAGACCTCCACCAGAATCTTATGCCATAAATTAACACAAATGGCTGTGACATCTATAAGAACAATATTTTTTATTACTTCTTCTCAAGAATAGTTGATTACCAAAATATTGTTCTTAAGGTTCTTTTACATTTCTGTAGAGTGATCATCCTTAAATCGTGTGTACACTTATGAGTAAGTGTATGATTGTGTATATTTGGGGATTTATTTCTAGACTTTCCACAGAAATTTATCTTAGTTATTTCAAAGTTTTCAAGGGTGGTTCATACTTCTCTTTACTACTTGTTTCAGAGGGTGAGTGTCATTCTTCAAAAATTTGATTTAAATTCCCCTAAAAACTTGGTGGTAAGGGTTAGAACAGTAGTAAACAGAAGCATTGACGTCCAACCTCTTATCTCCATAAACCATGCTGTTGTTTTGATTGTACCAAAACACCGTTCCTACTAGGTCTGTGCATAATGCACCAATTTGTCATTCGTTAACCAAAGCCATTTTAACATGCATGCGGGGACGATGCATGGCTATTTCTGGATTTTAGACTGTCTTCTCTGTTGAAACACGGATGAACAGAAAGGGAAAGCTGAAGCTTTCCACCAGCAAGAAAATGTCAGAGATGGGAAGGAGGGGAAGGGAGTCAGCTCTGCCATGTCCACCTGGGGAGCCGACTTTAACGAGATTAACACGGAATGTCCCTGCATTCCAGCATGGCACGACAGGACATTCTTGCCAGTCAAGTCCCAAAGATACTAACCATCTGGGATTCTAACTCAGGGCGTCATTCCTCACTTTCCATTTTGTCATTATTTCAGAGAGTGACAGTCAACCATTTCTTGGGGCAAACAGGCCTGCAGCTATTGTTCTTTGTCATCTCAGGTTTGCTTTTCCCTTTATAGCTTCACTTCTGTGGTCTGTTGGTGTTGTTAGAAGAGATTCTCAGTGTAACAGGATATGACAAGAATGACATTTCTCGTTTTATTTACCCTGGCTTTTATGCTGACTTTTAAGGGTTGCTTTAGCATGTGTGACATTCTATATGAACCCGTGCAGCTACCAGTTTTCAGTTCTTATTTGTTTGTAGTAGAAATTGAATGGCTTCTCTAAAACATTCAGTGGTTCCCTTTCCTTCTGAACTCAGAAGTCAGCTACTCTTACAGAGCACTCTACAGCACCATAGAGTTTAATATTAAATATAGTAGGGGTAGAATAGTGTTCTGGTTAGGAGGATGAACCCTAGAAAACTGCCTTGGTTAGAATCCTACCTTCCACCATTTTCTCCCATGGGCCTCAGTTTCTTTATCTGTAACATGACGATGTTAACAGGACTTACGTTAAGGAGTTTGGTGAGGATTGAATGATTGAACACAAGTTAGAAGTACCTACCTGGCTGATGGCACACATTCAACATGTGCTTGCTATCGCTAACAACAGTTAAAGCTTACAACAACCCTAAAAAAATGTCAGTGCATTTGCTATCATCATTTTACTAAAGAGGAAACCAGATCAAAAGATCTAACGTGACTTGCTCACTCGTGACAGAGGCAGTTCCATAAGGCCAATCTTCTCAACTATAGTGCAGTTTTGTCCCCACTCTGTGACATTGGTGCCATAATCCCTGTTCAGTAAATGAGGAAGCATTTCATTGGCCTGATGTGCCTATAGGGGAGACACAGAACCAAAGCAGAACGTCCTGGGGTATTGAGTGAAATGTCTTGAAAGAACCTGAAGTACTAACATGCGAGTGGTTAAAACCGTAAGGATAACTCCGTGTAGAAACGCGGTGCTGTAGCTATACAGAGCAGGAGGTGGGCGGAAGCAGAGAAAGTAAGAGTCAAAGAGAGGAGAAAAAATGAAAATACATTACTGAGGAAAAGTCTGACACATTGGGACAAGAATAAGAACTAGATGATAAGGAAGGTGATCTTGATGTGTAATTTGAAGCGTCTGCTTTTCATTGCGGTTCCACCCGTGGACCCATTAGCATATAAGAGACAAATATTGAATAATGCGACAGGTGTTCTGACCCATTGCAGTTTACATTCACAGTTTTCATGTTATTTTAGTTCTAGAACATGTGCTTCAGAGGGGGAGAGAAAGAAGCCCAGAGCAGACCCATGGTTTTGATGAAAAGCTTGCACATTTTTTCCTCGGCTTCAGCTGAAACCAAAGGATGGGTGCCTGCTTATAGTTGCTTTGAAAACACACGTGTGCTTCAGAAGCTGATGTCTTTTCACAAACACCACCTGGAAACTCTAGAGTTCACTGCTATTAAATTTCTTGCAGAAACTTAAGGATCATCATGAATTTTAGACATTTCTGAAGTGATTGTTGAGAGATCTGTTTTGCAGTGTGGAAAATGAAGTTGCCTTTTTGTTTTTGTTTTTTCTTGCCTAGATACACAGTACTGTTTGACAGTTCATCGCTTCAACAGCCGAGGAAGAAGTACATCCATCACCAAGAAGTGTGCCTCCAAGATTGAATGTCATTTTGTCGGTTGCCACCGCATCCACGATTCTGAACATACGGTAAGGATCATGTGCGTGTGTAAGTTACTGTCTAATATTCATGCTCGTAATGGTAAGTTATACTTCATGGGGGAGGCAGTAAGGATAACATGATGAACATATTTATATTTTGAGGAAAGACTCTATTACAATGATAAAACGGAGACCAAAAGAAGTCAAAGATTTTTTGTCCTTCAGCAAGAAATAATGTTACTAAAGATGAGTGACAGTTCCCAGACTCCAGAGCTAGACCCTAGGCCTCTGGGTGAGTGGTCTGAAGCCAGCTCTGATGGCTCAAGAGCAAACCATCCGTGCAAGAATGACAAACACGACAGAGTCCAGCTCACCTATTTTGTTCATGGCCAGGAATCACCAAGAACACTGCACAGGGACAATGGTGACACCCTTTACTAAGGAAACCTTGCCTTTCCCACTACCTCTGCTTAATTGAGGGAGTGACAGTCTGAAGGATTAGCCTCAGTTTAATGCAACGAATTATAATTTTTAGACCAACTGATCTCTTTACCGTTCTCATTCTATCATTCTAAATGAGCATTTTACTCTTTCATATGCCTGGGATCCTGAAATGTTTGAGAAAACATTGCTTGAAAGAATTCATTTCATGAGGTTTTAGAATTTGATGTAGCCTACAAGTGTAGAAAGTGGTTCTGACATCAGAGGCTTTTAGCTCTGGCTACACGAGACTCACCGGGGCAGCTTTTGCAAGCTGTGCTTGTGGCGGTAGGGGGCATCCCAGACCAAATGAAACAGAACCTCAGGGTAGGGGTCCCAGGCATTAGGGTTTTTTTTTTTTTTTTTTTTTAGAGCCAAGCTCCCGGTCTGTTGCCCGGGCTAGAGTGCCATGGCGTCATCCTAGCTCACAGCAACCTCGAACTCCTGGGCTCAAGCAATCCTTCTACCTCAGCCTCCCAAGTAGCTGGGACTACAGGCATGCGCCACCATGCCCGGCTAGTTTTTTCTATATATTTTTAGTTGTCCAATTAATTTCTTTCTATTTTTAGTAGAGACGGGGTCTCGCTCTTGCTCAGGCTGGTGTAGAACTCCTGAGCTCAAACAATCCACCCACCTCGGCCTCCCAGAGTGCTAGGATTACAGGCGTGAGCCACCGCGCCCGGCCGGCATTAGGGTTTTTAAAAAAAGTTCCCCAAGGTAATTCTGATGTGTAGCCAGGGTTGAGAACCACTGATACAGATGCTTAGAGTTGATGCCTTCATCATGCCATCCTGGAAGCCTCTGTGAATGGCTGGGTTGATCTGGCACAGGCAGTTGTACCAGGTGCAAATTGGCATTACCTGAAAACATCCTCTGAAAACACCTGTTAGGGAACAAGCCTTTTTCACCGCTCAGCAGCCATAATTATCAACCCATTGCTGCTGTGATGATAGGAATCAGGTGTTAGCATAGACAATAGAAAGCCATTATTATCTCCTAACAAGTAGTACTGAGAAAGAAAATCAATGACTAATCCAAAAGTTTCCTAGCTTTCATTTTCATCTCAGTGTTTTCCTTTACAAACCTTTAGAAGATTTGTTGACTTAATCAAGCGGTCTTATTCAGTTTCCCTTCCTATTCTTTGCCTTGCTAATGCTTGAGTTTGATGCAGATAAATCACAGTTAGGATGAAAAGACTCTCAAGACGGTCTTTCTCTCCTGGTCCATTTACAGGGGAAAGGTACCTGAGGGCCTGAGTGACGCATAGTCTGGAGAGCCAGTTCTAATTGTCTGTCTTCAGACAAAGCTAGTGAAGCCTTTCTTCTATTTTTCCCTTTCTCTCTTTTTCCTATTATTCACTCTCCTTCTTCTCTTTTTCTTTTGTAACAGGAATGTAGGTCTTGCTGTGAAGGAATGATCTGCAATGTAGAATTACCCACCAATCACACCAATGCGGTCTTCGCCGTAATGCACGCTCAGAGAACATCTGGCAGCAGTGTCCCTGCGCCCTACCTACTAGTGCTTGTCTGGGTCTTTGTGCTTCCGTTGCTATGATGCCACCATTCCTCAGAGAGGCAGAGACCAGTCCTCAAAAACACAAGCCAAAAACAGTGTGCACGGTGAACTTTGGCATGAAGACCAATCTTGCACTTGGTGAAGAGTGTGCCTCGGACCCCAAGGCAGAAGCCGGTGGTTTGCTTTGAGAAAATATGCCCATGTGAGACCATAAGACTGAGCATTGGAATTTGGCAGGAACTGAGAAGATGGTCCAACTTCCAGCCTTCCTGGTCAAAGGGGGCTCCATCTGGCTAGTTCTGCAGGGAAGATCCTGGCAATTAGTCCCCACCTGACTAGGCCTTTAGCTGAAAGAATTTCTTGACCTTGTTGACAGAGGCTGCCAGGGCAAACCCTCTTGTTTCTGCGATTAGTTCAGAGTGTCTCTATGAAATCTAACCCTTCCCCCCATGAGAGAGCAGTTTCCCCCACCAATGGCATCATCAATGAGAAAGGCAACTGTATGGAGAAAACTTGCTGTTGAACTAATATGAAATCCATTTGCTAATTGTTGGGGGGAAATAAAGCTTTTAAATTATACAGTGTAAATGCATGCTTGTGCTTGTTGGCTGATGTGGAGGCCTCTGGTGTAACACATTTACCAGGCTCATAGGCAAGGTCACTAAAGCCCTGTTTCTGTGCGCTGTTGGTGATGTATGCTGGGTTAAAGTATAAAATTCTATGCCAAAGCGACTTAGTTTTTCTCTGTTTTGGGAAGGACACACTTTGGGATGCTAAATGCAAACTAAGTGAGTTGAGAAGGTCAGGGAACCTCCCTGATCAAGGAAGATGACACCTTATATGATGCGCCCTCAGCAGTAGCAGCTTTAAGCGTCCTAGTCAGAGAAAATGGTGGGGGCCCCTTTCCCCACGATAGGCATCTTCTCTCTGAATGTCAGGTCCACCAAGAGAACCTCTCCAAACACTTGGTAAAATACTTGATTCCATTCTTTCCTTCTCTTTCCCTTTTATAGCAGAACCTCAGAAATTCAAATGAGCATCGTCTCTCTATTTCTAGAATCCTAATTTTTGCCTTCACACTTTAGAACAACCTTTAAACACTCTGCCCTTGTATGTATAGCTGTACATTAATGGAATGAATGTTTTTCCCCCAGTTAAACATCCACAACTGGGCACAGTGGCTTATTTCTGTAATCCCAGCACTTTGGGAGGCCAAGGTGGGAGGATCACTTGCCACCAGGAGTGCAAGACCAACTTGGGCAACATAGTGGACCCCATCTCTGCAAAAAATTAGCCAGGTGTGGTGGTGTGTACCTATAGTCCCACCTACTTAGTAAGCTGAAGTAGGAGAATTGCTTGAGTCCAGGAGTTCAAGACTGCAGTGAGCTATGATCACACTATTGTATTCCAGCCTCGGTGTCAGAGTGAGACCCTATCTCTTTAAAAAAAAAACCAAAAAGTCCTCCATTAGAATGCTGAGTGCCCTGTAGAATATACTAATAATAATATTCTTGCAGTATGGGGCCACCTATGATACGGGTTGGCAAACTATGCCCACAGGTCAAATCAGTCCCATCATTTAATTTTGTGAATACATTTTTAGTAAAACACAGCCATGTCTGTTTATGCGTTGTCTATGTCTGCTTTCATGCTACAATGGCAGGGTTACATAGATGCAACAGAGACTATATGGTCTGCAAAGTCTAAAAGCCGTCTTGCCCTTTACAAGAAAAGTTTGCAGACGCCTCGCCTATGACATGTTAAGACTGCTTAAGGAGAAAACTACTTTATTTGTAGGCACCATGGTGCTAATGACGATTACTCAGCCTGGGCAGTGGTTTGCCAGGTCACTTCCCTTGTTTTGTCTTCTGCATCAGTGAATTTTTTTTCTCTGTTTTGGTTGATTGTTCCATGTATTCCATTCTAGCTCTTAGCAGTTACGTACTAATGTCATGGGCTATCCTGTATTTATGTTTTTTCTCATCCTCAACACATTGAGAGTGTTTCATCTTAAGTCTCTTTAGTGTCCCATAAAACAGGGAGGGAGCAGACATCATTATCTCCCTGTCTCTGGCCTAAACTTAGACTCACCTGGAAGCATCAATTTTAATGCCTGATGTAGATTTATCCCACCTTTCACTCAGCACCTTGAAGTATTTGCTTTTTCATAGCTTATGCTTGTTTGAAATTAATTATATATGGCTTCCCTTGGAACGTTTTAATAGCATCTTTTGTGTCTTTTTATTCCCCGGGGTTTCTTTTGACTGTGTAATTGACGAATTGTCTGGTAAAAAACCATTAGCAGACAGTACATTTTTTTTTTTTGATTTTGTTTCTGCTGTCTAGATTAATGAATTTTCCTTTGTGTATGTGCTTTTTTTTTCCTTTCCCAAGGAAACATCCTAATTTTCTCTTCTTCACCCCACACATCATGTTTGTATGCATTTCTCTTCTCACCTCCAGTCCCTCAAGCCTTTAAAATAGGGGTATGTTGAGCAAAGGAGGGAATACACCAAGGAAAGAAACTTCTGGCAAAGACAGCTAAGTGAGTAGGACGTTAAAATAAAAATATGGGATGCCCCATTAAATTGGATTTCAGATAAACAAAAAATAATTTACAGATTTACAAATAAAAATGAGATGCCCCATTAAGTTTGAATTTTAGATAAACAATAATTTACAGATTTACAAATAAAATATGGAATGCCCCATTAAATTTGAATTTCCGATAAAATCAAGTATTTTTTTATTTAAGTTATTCATGAACTCACAAGTCTGGCTCATCTAACAAAATGATTTCAAATCCTTGTAATAAATCAGAATCTTCTGGGTAACTTCAAAACAAAACAAATTCCCAGGGCATTCTGGAGATGTTGATTCAGTAGGTCTGAGATGAAGCCCAAGCCTAGCTCCGATACTTGAATGTTAAATTTAAAAAAATAGAAACTTTCAGGTTATTATCATGCTCAACCAGAGTGTCACCTCTGACCTGAGAGGATTATTCCTTCTTCTGAAGCCTGGTCCTTGGCTGCATAACGGAAATGCTAATGAATAATAAACGCACGCGTGAGCAACGTGGGTCAGAGGGAGATTCTCAAAGTGTGGCTCCCAGACCAGTGGCATCAGCATCACCTGGACACTTGTTAGAAATGCAAATTCTTGGACTCCATCCAGACCTACTGACTTGGAAATGTTGAGGGTTCAATTTATGTTTTAACAAGTTTGAGAGCCACTGGATCAGAGAAGTGCTCCCCCAAAGTCATCAGTAAACGGGTCCTTGGCATCTGCATGAGCATGATGTGGGGGAGCTTGTGAAAAAAAAGGGAAGAAAATCAGACTCCTGGACCCCAACTCCAGAAAGTGAGATTCTTTGGGTTGAGTAAGAAAATTGTATTTTTAACAGACTCCTCAAGTGATTCTGATACACAGCCACTTTGTGAGCCACCAAACGAAAGAATAAAATACAGGGTTGTTACTGTGCCTCTGACCTGACCTTCGCCTTCTGATGTGAAAGCCCTGCGTGTGTTGACTCTGTGGTATCTCCAATGTAACTTCTAAACTAGAATTCAAAAAAAAAATCAAGTCTTTAGGGCTCATCAAATGGATTTTTAAGTCTGTTGCATAGGGACCTGAAATGGCCAAGTATCCCAGACCTCAGATTAATTTGCCCCTAGTGTGCAAGAAAATGAGAAGTACTTTGGTGTCAAAATGTCCAATGAGAATTGGAGTAGTGGGGCCAGGAAAGAAGGGGAATGTGTAGATTTATGGTTATAAAAGAGACAAGGAGATTAGCTATGAATATGAGGAGAATCTGAGGGAATGGCCTGTCAAGGTCCATTTTGAATAGATCTACATTCTAGAATAAACTTTGAATTCCCACCCATCAATCATGCTTTGAGAAAGAAAAAAACTGATACCTTACACTTTCTTCTCCATCTATGTCCAAACTCCCTACTTCAATTCAGAGTCAAAGTTAGCAATCAGAAATTATGGGCATTATTTTCCATGCAATCTGCATTCTGTCATGTCAGTCACTGGGTAAAATAAATTTCACAAGAAAAAAGAAGGTGGTGGGTTGGTTTCTCTGTCTTTCCTAGGAAAGAACTTATAAAGCCACACAAGGCAATGAGCAATATGGATGGGCACGGACCTGGGAGGTGGGGTGTGGCATGGAATCAGGGAAATATATTTCACGTTTGTCAGATGACTCGACTTTTAGGCAAAATTTTTGTGACAGGTAGATTACTACAACTAACAACTAATGAAAGTTTGCTATATCCTTTGGATCTTGGACGTTTTCTTTTTTGCCTCATCCTTTGTCACCGACTCTACAATTTGTAGAGGGCTATGTAGTGATGCTGGACGTGTCTGGGTACAAATCATGCCTGGAGACAAAGCTCGCAGACACACAAAGGTGAAAGTCAAAGAAACTGTAAAACAAACATCTGTGGTGACTTGAGCCCGCACAGTTAGGCACAGTTCCCTACTGTACATCCAAAACAGGCTGGCATCTTTCTGTCACGCTTCCCACGCTCCCTCCACCTTCACAATTCTGTTTCTTTCCCCTTGCCCATTGCCTTGGCCTCTGTTTCATCAGTTGCTGAGGCTGGAAGCTGAGCTGCTTTTGGGGTGACCCAGAGTGTGTGATAACCATGGTTGGGCTGTGAAAAGTAGGGCTTCCACAGTTCTGCTAGGAATACTGTGTGGCAGACCTGGGACTCTGCATTTTTAACAAGCATCTTATTCTGATACAGATGATTCTCACACTGGTAGTCTTAGAGCTTCATTTTTAGAACCAATAGCCCAGGGCCTCAGCATAAGGCTATAGAGCTCTGTGCTGAGAGCATCACATGTCTTGTAAACCTCCATCTGAAGACTCTCTTGGTTCATCTCAGTCCCAGCTAAGGGGCCAGAGCACTTGGAGGACACTGTGACTTGGCAAGGCTGCCATGTTGGATGTGGTTGTGGGATGCCTGGGACAAGAGGGAACTCTGGGGAGGGAGTCTGGGCCCCCTTCCAGGCAGGCAGGATGTTCACGGGAGTCCCCGGGGAGTCGTGGCTGAGAGAGGCAGGAAGAAGCCATGCAAAGCAAAGGGTGAGGTGAGCCCATCCGCAGGGGCTAAGCACAGACTAAAAACCAGTTCCAACGCCAATATTGTCCAAAAGACAACAGGCAACATGGGGGCAGGTCCTGGAAACAGACTCTGGTAAGGTTTTTGAGGGTCACCAGCTAAGGAGGGCATCTTTCATAGAGTGCTTGTAGTCATCAGATAACTTCAACTACAAATAACAGTCCAATGTGTCAATGTGTCAATGAATTTCTTGTCTCACACAACTGGAAGTCCAGAGGGAGGGTGGGTTTCAAGGTGGACTTTATCCAGTGGCTCTAGCTCCATTCTCTGCTGTTCTATTTGTTCTCACCTCCCTCACGTCCTTTGTACCCAATTGGCCACAGCTGTGCGATACTGCCCACCCAGTGTCTAGCTCCGCCGGTGTATAGACAGAGGGAAGCAATTGGAAGCTCTCCAAGATGAGAAGAAAGTCTTCATTCAGCCACCCAGCAAGTCACAAACGAGGAAGA